ACACAAACAGACATAAGACAAATAACTTCAAGGGATAATCAAGAAAACAGGAACAAAGCAGGATTTCGATCAATCCGTGATCTTGTGCTGCAGCGCGAGTTGCATTTCGAACACCAAGAAATATGGTACATGTATCCTCCAACGTCATTGCCAAGCACACGACGGTGCCCAGCCCACCGACTCATTGCTGTCAGTAATCGCTTTCAGGAACTTTTGGAGACAGAGTATCACTTCCCAACCTTCAGGGTTTGCAGGTCTGCATTTAGCACGACCGTGATCATTGTGCAATAGTGAGATGGGCTCCCATCCCATGGAAGATATGCACAACGGCTGAGGACTTTGTGTTGAAAGGGCAGGTGGACATTTTTTACTATCTTAATCGTTTGGGCGTCACCAGCTGAAGCCTAAATGATTAAGATAGTAAATTGACAGTTGTTCTGTTATGTTTATGTATATCTAGATGTGCTCTAACTGTTTTACCCAAAACTGCACAGGAGGGTTTTCACATACCATTTTCAAAACAATGGAACTCAGTGATGCATGACCAGAGAAATGTATCAAAGATATCAATGGAACGCTAACTGCCCCTAGTTTATGATAAAACCATAATTATGGTCATTAAGTTGACAGCTTGTTCACATTATCCCTTTGTTTGGGGGTTACCTCTTTTTTTAGGGGGCAGCAAAATCTGAATTTCAAAGGACGCAGCTACAACGTGCTCGAGCCGAAGGTTTATAAAGGCGCCTTAGGCAGCCGCCATATATGATCCATGTCTTACCACGGAGGAGCACAGCCAGATCGAAAGTGCTGATTTGTGCATTTTTAGAAATGCACAAAAAGTATTTGCAAAAAGGACTCAAGTCCGGGTCCTGTTGGAAATGCTTCGCAACTTTTCCGCTGCTGTTAATGCAAACTATTCATATTCATCACCATAATCAAAAGCCCGAGTGCTTTAAAACACACAAGATTAATTCAAGATTTTCAAAATTAATTCTTACTAAATGATAATTTATTTCTGTATATTTCACGGGCTAGTATAGAATCGACTATACCGACACTAGTATATACCTCAAAGCTTCTCAACTACCTGAGCAGTATGCAATTTACAGGCTGATACAGCAAACACTTACAGCAAATTAGCTTGCTGAAGGACACAAACAAAACAGACCTGTGACAGTTTCCCTCTGCCCAGCCCCTGCTGAATACACCTATTATGGTCAGAAGCAAAATAAAATAGATACACAATGCAGTGCCGTTCTCTAAGTTCTCTAAGTTCTCGGGTGTTCATCAGGTCTGCATCATGGTCACCAGCTACATCTTCACTATATGAATGCCACTTGATGAGCACTTATTGATAACGGTCGTTTGTCTCTACAGCCTAATGAACTTGTATTGTTACAAAGTCACTACATTTCACACGTCTTCGGCACGAGATGAGCTACTGAGAGTTGCAGTGAGAGGCAGGTGATGCATATGACACGCGAGCGACGTTGGTCTACCTTTGGAGCATTTGTGTTTGGTGTTTTTTTTTTCGTTTTTCTTATGCAGATCGCCCATCACAAGGCCAAGTGACACTCGAGGTGTGGACTACAGAGAGAAATTTGGAATAACCAGTCCCTTACACTGAAACAAGACGAGATAATCTAATGTTTTCACAGTATGAATAGAGTTGGGATGGGTAACTAGTCCACTGCAAGGCATTAACATGCTTCTACCCATAGACGTAGAAGTGTTATAGCCCAACTGGGCTCGAACCCACAACCTGCAGAATTACCCGCAGACCACGAATTCAATGCCTCAGAGCACTAGGCCAGGACACCCCACCATTCATATATCTTGGGCAAAAAGGGAAGTCGGTACCTGCACATATCCAGACGATGGTTGTGTTTTAGTATAAGATATTTTTTTTTTGGCTTATCAACTAAGTTTGGCTGAGTTTTTGAAAGGCTCCTGCGTGCAGGCTTTACGTCCCATTTCCAAAATGCAAGGTTTGGTGGATGAAATGTTGAATTGAAATATAACTGTCCGTATTGAAAAAAAATTAAGAAAATTTTAGATATTTGATAAGTTGGTGGCAGACTCGTTTGCGCATTGCAAAATTTGTCTCGTTGGCCAAAATGACATCGAAGCTAAATGCGGCCTCAGTTGTAATTTGAAAATTGTTCAAATATGTACCTGCATGGTAAAGATCGCCTCGGCCCGAAGTAACGTCATTCCAATGCTAACCGGAGCCGTGGGAACACCTTGTCTGATCAAGTTTCCCTTTCCCGTATTTCCATCTTTCGTGTAATTATTTTATTTAATGAAATAAAATATTTGAATGGAAATAGAAATTTGAATGAAATTGGAGACGTCAAACTTGCACTCTTTAAAACACACGCACGCAGCTTAAAATTTGAAAAGAAGGCTTGGTATGGTACACTTAGAAACATGTCAGAGACATACATGTAGTTGAAATTTGCCGCAAAGCTTCGCAGAAAATGCGCGATCTCACACTGCGCCTACCCGAACAGTTTTTGAGTTCCAGGAACGCGCGCAAAATTGCTCCAGAGCTGCCAATTGCAACACTGATTGTTTACAGCATCCGCGCTGCCACCTGTCCGCTCGGATATTACTTGACTTCGGAACGCGTCAGACTATTAAGCGTTCGTCCCTTGATTGGGAAGCGACACCTCAGTCTACCATTGCATAATTGGAGTAAACATAACAAGCGAACGCGGCGCAAACAACAAAACGCCATCTGTGCGTGCAGGTGGTACGGACGCGACACTGCGGGGTATGTAGTAATCGAGACGCTATTTTGAAGCGGTGACGGTGATAGGTATATTAAAGAGAAATGATCAATACCTTCGCCAGGAAGGACCACTTTTTAAGGATCATTTGGCGTGACTTACAGATATTTTTCTTCCCCTCACCAAAATACATTGGGAATTAGGACTTGTATACTTGGCAAAAATCCGTGCCGGTGAGTAGGGGAATGGAGATGACCAAAATACTAAAATTGTCCGGTCGAGGAAATTCAAAAAAAGGGGGGGGGCGGCTGGACACCACACGGCACGAGGGACGCTGTTTATAATACAAATGTTCATTTTATGCAAACTGGTGCGCTTACAATACTTCAAGACGATGTATTTAAAGCTTTTGTGCTGTTTGTTCTCCGTTTTGGGTGGGCCCTATGTAATACATTCCGGCGATTGGAAGTTATAAAATGAACTTAAAATCTGCATTTTTTTGTTTCTCACCACAAATTCTGGGGGATGATCCAACGACCCATCCGCGATCAAAAACTGAGGAGGTATATCCTGCAGACGCCCCACCCCCGGGATTTACGCCTTTGCTTGTATACGATTTTCGTATTTTGATGTTTCTTAATCCCTATTTGTAAAAATATGCACGTTAAATAATGTGAATACAGTGATATACAAGGAAGTTTTTTTTATTAAGGCAATGACTTATATTGATAACGGATTCGCATTATAATGGTTTTAAACGAATATTCTGCATAAGATTACCCTTTTTCTCAAGCAGAATTAAACTTGGCTTACAGTAAAACAGTTAACTTTGATGTTTATTTACAACGTTATATTTGGATGACGTCGTATGCCAGCGTTACCAACACATTTTGAGCCGCAGAAAAGTGAATAATTGTTAACTTTGAATTCTACGTACAACATGTTTTTGCATTACCTCGTAGGCCAGCGTTACCAACGCATTTACAGTCGCAAAAAAAAATTACAAGGAGTTCACAGCAGCCAGCAGCTAAACAGATACTGCCTGATATATTTTATTATGAACAGCGAGTAAATTATAATATTTAACCTATTAAAGCTTTGGACAATATGGATGACTTTATGGGGACGTTTACGACATGTAACGAGCATTAGAGGTTAAAACTGACATTGAGCGCGCGAGCTAATGAAGAAGAGGTAAACATTTACTCAACTACCATTCAGGACCGAGCGGTTTAGCGTGGTAGCCAAGCGCCATTCCCAGAATCTACATGTTTATGAAAGTGATAATTTGTATCTCACAAGACGGGAATGATCAAGATTTGTTTACTGAGGATAGTAGGTCTCATTGTTTATGGTTCACCGTACGGAGCATATACGTCTATCGTATCTAACAATTAAAAGAAAAAGTCCTAATGTAAGGATAGTAAAGGTTCAAAACAGACCAAGTAAAATAATTATGTTAAGGAAAATCTCGGGTAGAACGCATATTTTCAACATCAACATCAACTGAAACGATTACAACAGTATCAGACCTTCAATAATGACAGATGTGATTTTGTTTGTATACGAACATTCCTGCGGTAGGTGATCTGGTAAAACAAAATATAGTTTGATTTGAAAGAGAAATTCAGTAAATATGAGGTAAAGCTTGCCTCAAATTTAGGGATATAGAATTTGTGCACACTTTCAAGGTTTAAAACAGCCTCTTCTATGTACACCTCTTGTGTACGTTTTCACCAGGTTGTTGCGAAAACCGTACAACTAACCGACACGATATCAAGCAAAGTGGAAATCGGCGACTTTTTCTTTAAAACAAGCTCGATCGGATCTCAGAAGCTGCGGGCCAACGAATGCGTGATCATGCATAAGTCACGTGATTGTGCCGTGTAGTTTCTGGAAGGAGTAGTGTTTTGAGTTGAACAAAATCAGGTTTTTGATCCCAGTTACCCCCGTGATGACCTCTGACCCCGGTTTGGTCATGTGACATGTTTGGGCTGCGCTACTGATACTTTTGACAAAGTTTGGTTGAAATCGGTCACAATATGTATGTAGCAGCAATAGACAATGTCAACTATTGTTACTAACTCCCCTAACGGACTAACGTAGAGACAAGTCATGATGATTTTTGATCTACTTTCCCGCTGCTAAAACCCTAAGCCTACTTACAAAGTGAAAACAATTTGCAAATCTACGGAGACTGCGGAATCAAAACTTGACGGATATGAAGAAAAATTAGCAATAAAACTCACCTCCACTCCGTGTCAGTCACAGTGACGAACAGTCTCTTTTGGAGTCTTTCCTCAGCTGCAAGTTAATTTTTCTTAAGAGCCAGACTGAGGTCGACCTTCAGCGTGTGGTGTAATAGACGATCTTGACTCCTCAGCGCCGCACAATGACAGTGATCTCTCGCTGCCGAGACAACTCTGCTCTCCACCGATATCCCCGCGGGGGAAAAAAAGTGGCGGGAAAAAAAGTGGCGGGAAGCTGGAGCTCATGCACCTGAAACGAAACGGCAAGAAAAGAAAAGCATAAAAAACATAACAGCTGGTATCACGCCGGTCTCGCAAACTCACTAATGAGATTCCGGAGGGAACCGAAGGGTATCCTATGGACGCTAGAGGGCGCTGTGGGGTCATCGGTGGCAGCGAGGAGATGATTTATGGAGCAATTTGAGAAAGGTGAATACGAATGGCAGTAAGGGGAAGAGCTACGGGTATGAAGAGGATCCAGATGGCGGGGGAAATACTGGGAACTACCTCCTGGGAAAAAGCTCTGGTATCGAAGATGATGTGTGTGGCCACAGATGATTTGAACCGTCAATCCATATATACGCCAACACTGTCGTAACCCAGTACTCTGTAGATCTATTTCAGTCATTCTTAAAGGATTCACAGGTTATTAGATACTTTAACCAATTAGATGTAGTCCATTTTTTAGGCCTTTGAGACCTGCTGACTCCGAATCTGCATGATGCCACTTCGGTATCCTTGGGAAATTGAGATATCCAAGATGGCCAACCGACAAGATTGCTTTCAGTGTATGTGTGCTTAATAGGCCCTTACAACATGATTTGTACATGTAATATGAACTAGTATTGTACACATATATGGATTTGCATTGTCAGTGAATCCATCGTTCATCCACTCACCTTTTCTACATATGATTTCTACATGTGGTTTCTTCATATCAAAGGTAACAAATTGAACTTGTTCTAAAGAAACTTTAAATCACAAATACTACCTAGGAAAGTGGACACAAGGAGTTTATGGGGCATCTGCACAATACTATGCTAGATCTTAAGCAAACAGGCAAACTATCCACTCTCCCTTACAAAGACTACACGCTAAAAGAATACAACACAAAAACACGGGCACGCGAGGTCCTTCTCTAAGCTTCGAAAACCAAATGACAAGTCACAAACTGACCAATAGTCTTCACTAAATAGACTATAAACCCTTACCAGACTTAAGTAAGATTTGAGGCTTTGCATGGTGGAGATACTAATGAATGAAAGGTTTGCGAAAACATGCATGTGGGAATAATTTCTCAACTAAGAGGTTCTGAAAAGAACCAGAGGTATAAACTCACTAAGAGAATGGTTCTGAAAAGAACCAGAGGTATAAACTCATCATTGGTTCTTTTCAGAACCAATTCTTCGTACATAGTGTTTCCGCAAACCTTTCACTTACCAGACTTGTTATATGACAACGGCCGTTTAAAGGGAATCTGTATGCGTTATTTGTTATTACTCTTGGATACCAATTATTTGTTAGTGGTTCTCAACAACATCAAGGAGTAGACAGGTATGAGCTTTGTACAGGCCAAGGGTCTTGCTCAAATCTGGAAAGCTTGGAGGCAGAAGATCAGAAGATGAGAAAAGTATAGCAACTCGTCAAATATGACGACGGCCAAAAGGAGAGCAAAACATTTCGTTACTACTTTCGGATAGCTTAATACCTGAACTCAGACACTCCCGCTTTATTAATAAACAGTGAATGCACACTGAGTACACACTGACTATATACTGAGAGTCTCAAAACAGGTTGTTGTTACCGGTATGTAATTCAAGTGCTTTTTCGATTTTTTTTCTTTGGAGATTGAGCTCAGGTATCGGCATTGATTTGCGGGTAATAAAAACCAAAAGGGAATAGCCAAATTATGCAAACCGTGTTCACAACTTTTGTTCCCCGAGAAACACTTGTGATGTCGGTACTTCATGTGTGTCTCAAGTAGCTCGCTATAGTCTCCTGGGTCGACATTGTCCCATTTTCCGTCGAAATATTGGGTTAAGATTCAGCTGACAGTGCGCGATACTGTGCAAGTGAATTTGTGTGGTTTCCTTGCTAGGTCTGCCAGGGTTTGATGAAGTATAAACGTTCAAGAGATCAAAGTGACACGAAAGTGTCTGACCAGAACGCACGAGGAAATTTGATCCGTGGTAACTTCATATTCCGCTGGGGAACGAGCTAGCGAAAGGAACATCGATATCGCCAGCGTTGGCCTCACGCAGACTCGACCCCATGGACCAGTCCGCCGGTCTTTGGGAGCATGTACCAATCAGGTGTAAAAGCATGTCAATTCCGTCAAACGGCGTCCTGGCAATTACACCAAAACCGAGCCAATATTGAACTGTTGTCATCTACCCCCCGTGGCCTGGTGTATTCACCAAGCAAATATCTCTTTTACCGAAATATTTGGCGCGCAAACATCAGCTTCAATTCCAAACCAACTTCTTCAGTCGTCTGATTTTCGATCCTCCAACCTTCGCACGCGAAGCGAATCGATTTCTGGAAATGCATTTTGCGTGTCAAAAGTGCCCCGATGCATTGACAGCAATTCCATACGATTGAAGATCGCAAATTTCCCAAGCCAACAAAAAGGAAAAAGAAACTGGGTCTTTTGAGGGAGAAATTCGATCCTGTTTTGTCGTTGCACTTTACCCTCGACCGCTTTGCTTTATGGCTCGACTTAAAAATAACACATTTTTCTGTGAGTTGACATTTCAAAAAGGGTACGTTGCCCTAGGCGAACCGGTTATTTCCCATATCGTACCTTTATGAAACACCGTCAATAATACGATACCTGATATTTCAAAAGTTTCAATATCGACCCGACGGCAGATGTAAGAAGTCGTATGGCCACGCGACCACTGGGGGCCTAGATTCCGCTGGTTCTCTAGAGGATTACATCCCTACGCCGTGAAGGATTTCCATAATAGAAATGCAATCTTTCAATGTTCCCAAAGTCCGTGATTGTAAGGTTTGCCAAGCAATTATTTTAAGTGAAATTAGATCTTCCTTAACTGCGAAATGAGACTTCTATCGCAAAATAACGGCACAATATGGTGAAACATCAGCAGGAAAATAGATAATAAGATCTTTGTTATTTCACTGTTGCTTATTTAGTAGCCCTGGCTCTGATTTGATAGTTAATTACCAAGATCAAACACATTGAAGCCGAATGGTACAGACTGCGTGTTTGTCGAGCTAACATGTAAATCATTAAGACAAGATAAGTTTGCGGTAGCACCATGTGAATAAATCTCTTTTGTGAGTATGTGTGGTTCTGAAAAGAACCGGAGGGACTCAACGTTTCGAACAGTATGCTCTGCCCGTCGTAGGGAGAATGAGGGATTCCATGTAAATCATTATATACCTTTAGGTCAAACCTCGACAGAGTAAAAGTAATTATCATTTGCACACTACACGGTGGTGTAAAAAGAAGGAAACCCACCTTTGATAGTAATTTTTACCTACTTGTTCAGCATATTTTAAACATTTAATTTAATGGTATTAAAATATTGATCTTTAAACACAAGTGACGAAAAAATGATTGCAAAATTTTGTCTCTGAGATATGGTTGTTAAAAATTCATGTGCCAAGCTTGTGTGTCCCGTCCCCTTGACTGAGCTCAGGAGCACGATTTGAAGATACAACACTTTTGATGTTTAATCCTTTTTCTTTTTCATGCGTTTCTTTAATATCATCAAAGCATAAGTTAAAGTATATTATGACAAGATTTTACCTTTCATGTTCCACGGAAATTACAAATTGTGTTTTTTAATATTTGTGAACTACGAAACATCCGATTGAATTAGAATTACAAGTGGACAACAGTTATTTTGGTGACTTGTATTCAAATTAGTATACTTAAACGATTCTTGCGATTTTTTTTAAAGATTTTTTTCACCATGTTTGGTTGAAGAGCTATACTTTACTACATTATAACAATTCAATTAAGTTAAGTATAAGGTTAAAATTCCTGTCAAAAGTGGTGTTTCCTTCTTTTTGAACCACCCTGTATAGGCCGACAACGCAAACGTTTAACAATTGAAGATTATAACTATTGATTTGAAATAAAATAACACCTATCAATTTATGTCACAATACATAGGCCATCAGCCTGGGGGTGGTCGGTATCAAATGAGGGGAATAAAGGACTATAATGCTCATTGGCAAGGTATACACCCGTAGATGATGGTAACAAGCATTTTGGTGACCATTTTGAAAAGAAAGGGTGATAACACCCAAAAGGCTGCCACCGCTGCAATGCTATCACATATTTTCCAAGTCAAGGGATGCATACCTTAATTGCTATAAGCATTATTTCCCTCATTTGATACCGTAGGCCAAAATGTTGGACCGAGACTGATGACCTATAACACTATCTTTTGCCTGTAAGTTGAGGTCCCATGGTTTCACAGGCCATAAAGTTGTTTCTTTTCTAGTTTTGATCAGCCAGAAGAGAAGCACAAGACACCGCCCAGGAAGAGCAAGTAAATTACATCGGAAGTCCGGAATGAGGCATCTGTCGGCGGTTGCAACCTGGCAATTTTACAACGGCCACATGCTTAATTGCAAGGATTGGATTCTTTTATTTAACCTTTTGCATGAACTTCGTGGCGTGTTGTACAACTAATCTTCTGGTCGTGGTTGGCAGATCACATTCGTATAAAAAGAAAAGCAAAAGGCGTAGGTATTGTGCTCGTTGCGATCAACTTTTCTGTCAGCGTGACCGGCTGAAAAACACAAGACTGATAAAAGTGTTTACATTGAATCAGTGATGTAAACACGGAAGGGGATAGAACATGAAATACCGCAGACAGACAAGATTTCATCCACGAAGGCAGGGAAACCTCCAATCACGCAAAATAAATGAGTTGGGAGACATCATTGCCACCGGAAGTCGTTGCCGCTAGTCTTCATTCAGGTCGGTCCCCGCTTTTTCTCACTGACATTAACCAGCTGGAGAAACATTTCCTGCTATTCGACTTTTCAACTTTAGAGCACAGGTATCCAATCTTGTCAAGGTCGGGTACAGGTGTTTTGTCATCAGGCTTACACTAATACCAGGATACAGACACTATTTTTGTCCAGGTCACAACCAGATATAAAGGAACCTTGTTTTCCTAGAGAAATTTCAATGATTGAGCAAGTGTAACTATGTTTACACGGTCAATATGGGTTAGAAAGTACACAAAGAAATGATTTTCACGTCAA